ACCGAAAATAAACAACCAGAGAAGAAAAAAAGGGTCGCTCTGATACCATGTAGTAAAAGGAATATGGAAAATAATTCTCTCTTGTATTTCATTGATCAGAATATACACATATATATACAAGTGAGGGGAGCCTCTGCAATAATGGCTCATTATGATAATATCATATCCTATCAAATCCTAGTCATAATTACATAATATTTACATATCAAATCATATCATATCTCTAAATGGTGCAACTCTGAAAAAGCGTTCTTGCATTTATCATAATTCTATGTTTCCTTTAAACTATTATTGTTTCAGTGATAGTGATGCTGTTTTTGTTGTTTATGAATTACGATGATGGTGTTTTTATGGTCAAAGTTATGCTTCCATTGAAGCAATTGAGAATGATAGCCATTCGGACACTCGGAATTTGATCTCTTATTGGATTCTTCTCTCACTGATATACCTCTTTGAGTATCCTTTCCTCAAGCTTCTTCAATGGTAAACCATTTACTCTCTCTCATTTAACACAGACACATGGCCATTGAACTGAACAAAATGGTTGCTGTTCTTCCTTTTATCATATTTTACTAATTTGATCATATCATCTGCAGTTAAAATTGCATGAACTGTGATATCAGATTCATTCAGGTTCTGAACCAATCTTACTTATCCATCCTCATTTTCAACATCAGGTTTCAGTATTGGCATTACATGAAGCTAATCATGGTCGCCTTCTTGTGATTCCGGATTTTGGAAGATCTGCTTATGTCTATAATCACTTCGTTCAATCATGCATCCACATGAATCCTCAAGCAGTCATAAGCAGATTCAGGAACTGGAAGAACATATTTGTCAAGAAAGAAGACTTTACAATGCAGGCTGAGAAGTATATAACACGAAATGGAACTGAAGTCTTAGAGCAACTCATTGCTAGCAAGGTATGAAAATCGCCATATATATATATATATATATATATATATCACGTGCTATTCATTAGCTGCTTATAGTGTATATCATTTTTCAGACTCTATGCAATGCATGGAACTACATCTGGCTGTTATTAAGATTTTCATCTTAGGTATGGCTGTCAAAAGTGTTCATGGAAAGCAGACATTTCAGTAGTTTATAAAAGCTAACAAAGCTAAAAGTGATGTGGTTTGAAGGGGGTTTGTCCTATGCCTCTTTTTGATTGGGATGCTTAGGTTGTACGGATACTGGTATACCGAGACACTGGCATCTTAGATACCACCTGAAGTTCGAGATGCCTGAGTTGAAAATAGTACACCAAATGGTTTCTTTAAAGGGATGCATGCTGGTTTTAATGTATAGATAGCTTGTTTGAGTTCAGAAGTACCCACCACCAATCTCATTCAAGTTGCTTACTTGTTTTGTGATTCTTGACTACTGAATAATCATCTTCTTTTACTGTAGAACATAGAGAAAAGTCTCAATGCAGAAACAAGAAAATCAGTTCCAACTACGGAGAAGAATGAGATCCTGAAGGCGAATTTTTATGTGAATCTTGATGGATGTGTGGGTTGAGTTCGGTCCCTCTTTCATTTGAGTTGCCTACGTATTTTATATTTATGTGAATCCTGATCACTGAAGAATTAAGCCAATGAACCTTTTCTTCTATAAAGGACCACAGCAGAAAGTCTTAATACTGAACCAATAGGAACAGTTCCAACCACCAGGAAGAATGAAATGGAACAGATGAATTTCTTATGCAATTCTTGCCCTTTTATAGCCAGCTTCAAACATGAAGGAACTGAAACCTTTTCTGGGTTGGAGTATTTGATACATGAAGGAGCTTATCGTCCAACCTTATTGTCTTTGTGCAGACAAATAGAGGAAGGCTTCTCATGGAACAGAAAGACGCCAAAGATTTGGAGATGATTGAAAAAGAGCAAGTTCCTGAAGGCAAGCAAGTAAGATTTCATACCATTTTCAAGTAAAAAGGGGAAAAGAACAGCGCCCCCCCCCTCCAAAAAAAAAAAAAAACTAAGTCATGCTAAAGTTGGTTATTTGCAAATAGCCTAGGTCTGATAATACTTACATTTGTTGTGAGTTTTTTCCAGTTTCCTTGTAATTGCCAGAAAAGAAGCTAGGGAATTAAAAAAACAGCAGAGAACAAAGTTGATTATTTTCGCTAATCTTTACCTCAATGCCAAGTTTTCAACATTTCAGGTTAATAGCGCCTTGGAAAGACTCAAATCAAATGAAAGCATTTTATCTGCCATGGCGAAAACCGAAAAAATGGCAGCAGACACCGAACATGGAACATATAATCCTCAGATTTCTGCATCTGAGAATGTACAGAAAGAATGGACTTGTGCCATATGCCAGGTGACAATGCCTTCTGAAGCTAATTTGAATTCCCACCTGCAAGGAAGAAAGCATAAGGCTGCTTGTGAAGCACTGAATACAAAAACTAAAGGAATGCCGGTGACAGACACAGGAAGAGGAGCATCTTCTCAGGTTTCTGCATGTAAAGATGTACAGACGATGTGGACTTGTAAAATATGTCAATTGAGAATATTTTCTGAAGCTAGTTTGAATTCCCACCTGCAAGGAAGAAAGCATATGGCTGCTTGTGAAGCACTGAACGGGAAAACTAAAGGAACCGAAGTGACAGACACAGGAAGTGGAGCATCTTCTCAGGTTTCTGCATCTAAAGATGTACAGAAAATGTGGACTTGTAAAATATGTCAATTGAAAATATATTCTGAAGGTAGTTTGAATTCCCACCTGAAAGGAAAGAAGCATAAGGCTGCTTGTGAAGCACTGAACGCAAAAAGCCAGCTTGTTGCTGAGAAAGTTCCGGTGAAGAAGAATGATGAGTCCACTGGAGAAGAGGAGATGATAATCTATACGCCAAGTGCATTAGAACAGAATACCACAAACAGTCATCATCCAAAAATGGAGCATAAGAATGTTGAAACTATCAATATTAGTCAGCAGAATAAAAACAAAGACGTTGATGCCAATACCACCAAGGTGCAAGAATTGCAGAAGGACGTAGGAACATCGATTGGAATGAACAGTTCCAGATTAAGATGTGATATGTGCAATGTAAAATGCACTAGTGTAGGTGACTTGGCTTCTCACTTGCAAGGTAGCAAGCACTTGGCTCAAATTCAATTACTTACTGCCCATGGGCAATGGCCTTGTAGTCTAGTCATATAAAAGCTCCCTTGTAAGTAGGAGGTTGTGGGTTCAATTCCGTTTAACCTCAAGTAGTTGGTGTCAACTTCTCTAATTCAAAAAAAAAAAGGGTCAATTACTTAGTGGTCCAAGCTAGTAAATGAGTCTTCTGCTTTAGAAGTAAATGTATGTGTTCATGTAGGACATGCCATTAAGTTTTGATTATAATATGTACGTTTTGAAGTTTAAGCCCGTGTGCCAAAGGTTGTTTGGGGTTAGAACTTGATTATTATACTGAGATTTGTAGCGATGGGGAGAATTTGAAACCCAATGTGTCATTGCAAAGACAGATTATGAAATGAATATATACTTGCTATTTATCTTGCTTTGTCCCTTGAGCAGCCCATCATCTTATTAGCGCGGCATTCTCATGGTATGTATAATGAGAATGCGGATTCAATTAGGCTTATAAGTTTATATTTGTTTCATATTAATAAAATTGTTGTTGTTCTCAAACTTCATATATATATATATATGTATATTTATGCACTCTTTCGTTTTGAAGGTACTCTTAATAGATTATTAGCTGTTAATTGTAGAGGCAGGGCGGGTTGGAAGGGTAGGCCAAACCAAAATCAACCCATCTTCTGGTGAGATGAAAAATTTCCAACCTCCCGCTATAGGCCCATCCACTTCTCCTTCTTCTTCTTCCTTTTTTTTTTTTTTTTTTTAAAAACCCATAATTTTTTAATTAAATTACAAATTTTTATAATCTAAATTCAAATTGTTATATATTTTCATAAAGTTATATGATTAAATTATCCCAAAACTTACAAATATGAAGATACAATAATACCGCACATAATTATTCGATCCGTATAAAAATTATATAATAAAAAATTGACAAATTGAACATCAAATCATGTTATTGACATAAAAAAGAATATATGAAAAATAAGTTCAAAACGATAACTTTTCATTCAAATTGACATAAACAACAAAAAATTGTAATTTTTTTTTTAAAAGAAAAGCAGGCCAACCTAAGGTAGAGCGACCCAAGTTTTTCAGCATGCTTCAAACGGAGCTGCCATCTTGCCAATCTAACTCATATTTTTTCATGGGTCGAATTAGTTTGCGCAAGTCATATCATCAACTTTAGTCATATTAACTAATAAGGTTATGCGTAGTAGAAGGAATTAGCCTCTTATAATATACTCTTCTGTTTCTTAATATATGATCTAATTGTGAAGTTAGTTTTGATTCTAAATATAAGACCTATTTTTATGTCTATCAATTTTTCCAAATCACCCCTATTGATACTCCCTCAACCATAACTAAATATGAGAAGGAATGAGGATATAATGAAGATGATTAAGGTATTTAGGAAAAACATGTCATATTTATTATAGTTAATTAGCTTATAATCTAATTAAATTAGTTAAATAGATCTTATATTAAGGAACCGGATGACTAACAAATTAAGATTTGCATCATTGCTGGATTGTCTTCAATAACAAGATACATGTACTGAGAAAAAAAAAGTCTTAATTTTTTACTTGTGTATCACACAAGTATTGGTTATGTCGTAACGACAAATCATGATTGCAGAACGGAAAGAACAAATGAGTCCAATTTTTTCTTTTAAAAAGTTTAGAAATTTAAAAATAAAAAAGTTAAAAATTATTAAATGCAAATAAGAAATATCAAATATGAACAAAAATTGTCTTTACATTACATATACCCGACTCCATGCGGGCCCACGAGATGAGCAAAGCCCCACTTGCCACTTGCCCCCTTGCCGCCAACCCCTAATAGCTCCTCCTTGACTTTTCGCTCTTCCCACGCGGACTTTATTCTCCCTCCTCTCCGCCGTTTCCTTCTCCGTCAAGTCTTCTTCACAACTCTCTCGCGATTCAACCTCCCCACAATAGCAGAAAATATTGCTTCAATCTCACATGGCTTCTTTGTGGCTTCTCATACACCTCCTTAAATGCATTGATTTTCTTTCATGGTATGTACGTTTGCGTTTATATATTCTTGTATATGATGTCTCCCTTGGTCGATTTCTAAGGATGCGACATTTCTGCTTCTGATCACATTTGATCATTTGTTGTAACTTTTGCCCTTCACATTAGCAGTTCAACGTTCTAAATACTAAACGATCTCTGTGCCTATGGAAAGTTAAAGTGGATCTATTTGACAAGCTTTGTTTCCTTTCACTCTTTATATTACTGACTCTGTGTTGTTTGTATGTATAGGCCCGTTCTTGCTCTGGGTTATCCTCTGTAAGTCTCTCCCTCCCTCTCTCGTTCGCTCAGTGTGTGTGGGTGTGTGTGTGTGTTCTAGTATTTAAAAAAACACTATCAGCTAATGGAGAGTATTAAATAAGCGTTTTAGATATATTCAAATATATTTTTCTATGGAGTTTCTGTCCTGACATGATTACTTTTATTTTTCAGTTTGGTTCGGTCTATCTATTTTCTTTAAACCCAGTCTGCTTAAAAATCTTTCAAGTACTTAATGTATTCTCTAATAAAAGTTATAACATATGGACAGGTTTATCATTTATTGACTTCTGAAGATGCTCATGCTTTTTTGTCGTAATTATACCTGGCAATCCAATAGCATATTCCCAAAAAAAAAAAAAAAAGCACCGACGTTTTCCCTTCGAACCGTTATTTCACTGATAGTTATGCTGTTTTGATTGCTTATGATGGTGGTGTGACGTGGTTGAAGATGTGCTTCCGTCCGAGCAATTGAGAATGATAACAATTCAGACACTCGGAATTTGATCTCTTATTGGATCCTTCTCTCATTGATATACCTCTTCGACTATGCTTTTCTGAAGCTTCTCCAATGGTAAATTCTCTGTTCTGTATCTTTTGCTAAAAAGCTACATACATACAATATAGGGAATGACTAATGACACTTTGGACAAAAGGAACAAACTAATGTCATGAAGCTAATGATCGTTACTTGCGTCCTCATGTTCAATATCAGGTTTCAGTATTGGTATTACATGAAGCTAATGATCGTTGTTTGCCTTGTGATACCGGACTTTGGAAGATCTTCTCATGTATACAATCAGCTCATTCGGTCGTGCATCTACATGAATCCCCGTGTAGCCATAAGAAAATTCAGGAACTGGAAAAGGGTCTTTGTGGAGAAAGAAGACTTTCTAATGCTGGCTGAGAAATATATAACAGAGAATGGAACTGGGGCCTTAGAGAAACTCATTGCTTGCAAGGTAAAAAAAAAAAAAAAACACCACATATATTAGGTGTATACATGGATACGAGTGCAAAGGCTAAAGGTATTCTCTGCTGTAACATAGGGTTAGATGTTTGGTGCATTGTTATTTCATATTTTTTGTGTTAGGTATGACAATAGAAAGTTTTCGAGAAAATCGTACTATTGGTATTTTATATTACAAAAGATAACACAGCTAAAAGTGGTATGATTTGAACGTGTGTCTTTCTATGCCTCTTGTTATTTTGGGAAGTAGCATACTATAACATTGCAGATCCCACCTAAAAATGCTTCAGGAAAGCCAGTTTTTGTGGTCTATATATGCATAATTCTGATTTAATGTATAAATGGGTTGTTTGAATTAAACATTGCCCACCACCAGTCACTCAATTTGCGTACGTGATTTGTAAATCTTGATTACTGAATAGCTGAGGCAATTATTCTTTCCTTCTACTATAGAACACACAGCAAAACCTTGAAGTTGAAGCGAAAAAGGCCGCTCCAACTGCAGAGAAGAATGACACGCAGCAGGTGAATTTTTCATTTGATTCTTGTCACGCATTTATATCCTGTAAAACATAACAGAAAGAGGTGTTTGTAAAATGCTGTCATGTTATGCATCTTATATGTCACTCAAAATTCGAGATGCTTGGGTTAAAATGGTTATATCAAATCCACTCTCAAATGTGTTTTAGGAAAGCAAGGGATGCTCACTTTATTCTATAAATGTGCGGTTTGAGTTCAATTGTACTCAATACCCCGTTCACTTAAATTGCCTAATATCCTTTTCTTATATTGAAGAACACAGCACAAAATCTTGACACGGGAACGGAAAAAACGGTTCGTACCATAGAGAAGAGTGAAGCACAGCAGGTGAATTTCTCATGCAATTCTTCTTGTGTTATTGCCAGTTTTAAACATGAAAGAGATGAAACTTTTTTTTTCCCGGCTGATATTATATCTCTTTTAGTTGACACAAAACCATGAAAGATCGTTTATAATCTTGTGAAGGAGCGTATCTTCCAACCTTATTGTCCTTGCGCAGACAAATAAAGTAAGGCTTCCCTTGGAACAGAAAGACATAAAAGACTTGGAGATGATTGAAAAAGAGGAAATCCCCAATGGCAAGCCAGTAAGATTTCTTATCATTTTCAACTAAAAGAAACAGGGTTGGTTTTCCCTATGGAACCGCTATGTATCTTTTTACTCCAACTCATGCTAAAGCTGGTTATTTGCAAATATATTAGGTTTCTTTATACTTATAGTTGATGGGATTTTTTACCGTCCCTTTGATTGCCTGAAAAATAATAGAAATAAGTGGAAACCAAGTGATAACGAACAGCTAACAAATCTTATTGGGGGGGAAAAACAGGACATGATCAGCTCATGAGTGATTAGCAAAAGGTTTTAAATTCAATGCTCTGCTAAGTACTCTCTAAGTGAGAGAGAAGTCGTGAGGAGTGTGAGTAATTAGCAAGAAGCTTTATAACACTAATGACTTTTGCTAAAATTACATAAACCTTCTTTTTGCTGTCAAAATTTACACACATTTTCCCTGAAACAGAGAGTGAATTATATAGATTTTTCTTGGATTTATTGATGTTACATGAACCTCTAATTTATTTTCAAAATGTGCAAAAACCCTTTCAAAGGAGAAGAGACCTTTATATAATTTTTGCAAAAATTAGAGCTCAAGAGCTTTGTGTGTTTTATCTTTTTATTTTATTTAGTTTTTAAGAGAAGTCTATATAGATTTTGGAATGAGAAGAAAAGTCTATACAATTAACTACAGCAAAACTAGGGAGGCTGTGTAATTCACTCTTGTGTATGTGTATCTAGCTTAAAAAGTGTACTTGGTGATGAATTTCTTTTTTCTTGTACGCATGAGTAACCAACGCTCAGTTTAAAAACTACAACGAGAAAAGGCTGAGGTTTCACTTGATTCATTTTTTTTACTTCCTGAGAAGTTAACTTCCCCATAAGTATATTTAATGCATAGAAAACCAAACCTTTAGCATGCGGAAGGGTTGAACACAGTGAACCTCATAAGGGAATGTTTGTGATAATCCATATCGGTCCATTTGTCAATGGATTTGTATGCGTCAAGTGTTGTAGACATTTCCTTACTTGGGTTCACTGTGTTCAACCCTTCTACACATCAGATGTTTGATTTTCCGCACCACTATGATTACAGCCCTTTCACACTTCCTAGCCCAGGAAGTATACTTATTCGCTTAAAATGTGTTTGCTTTCTATCTTATCAGTTTGTTTGTTTCTTTTTTTCCCCTCCAGATCTTCACCTTTATGCCACAGACTAATACAGCGTTGTGCAGCCCCAGATCAAATAAGATCTCCTTATCTAACATATCAAAAACTGAAGGAATGGTGGCAAAATACACAGAAGGTCGAGCATCTCCTCATATTTCTTCATCTAATGAATTTCAGAAAGAGTGGACTTGTGCCATATGCCAGGTGAGAACAACTTCCGAGGCTGACTTGAATTGTCACTTGCACGGGAGGTTGCATAAGGCTGCGTGCGAAGCACTGAAAGCGAAAAAACCAGTCTGTTGCTGTGGAAGTTTCTGTGAAGAAAAATGAGACGTCAGGTGGAGAACCAGAGAAGATGATCAATACTTCGAATTCATCAGAACAGAAGATCACAACCTGTCATCATCCAAAAATAGAGCAGAAGAATGTTAAAACTGTAAATGTGCGAAAATATTGTTATAGGCCAAAGAGGACGATAGATCAAGAAAACACGGGCAAAATTGTTCATGTCATTCCCAAGGTGCAAGAATTGCAGAACTCTGAAACACCAGTACTTAAGTTTAAGTGAACAACTCCAGATTCAGATATGATATGTGCGGTGTAAATTGCAGTAGGGAAGTTGACATTACTTCTCACTTGAAGGGTAGGAGGTTCAGTTTGGTCCTAGTTAGTCAACGAGTCATCTGCTTCAGATTTCTGCCTTTTGCTGTAAGTACCGATGTTGAGGTTATATAGGTCTGCCCATAGACATTGTGTGAAGATTGAAAGTACATGTTACATGGGATTATGTTCTCATTATAACATCTACCTTAAAAACACGCCTCTCATTTTCTTTTTCTCTTTCTTTAGGCCTGCATGTCCCTCATGTTGTTTCTATTTTAACTAGAGCATCAAACAGTGAGAAGACTAGAACTAATTTCGTAGCTAGACATATTATGACTTTTTTCAAAAAAACTTTTACCGTAATAAAATGTATATATAGTATGAAAATCCGAACATGCTATGCTATTTATGAACTATGAATAGTATCACTTATTTTTCAGGCTCTATATAATATATTATCTCAAACAACAACAATATCAAGAAGCCTTATTTTATTAGGTGAGATTGAAAATATAAATATAATAATTCTTTTAATAGTCCTCTTGTAATATTAATTATTTTTACGGTTGCTTTCAACTATAGACATGCAAAAAAAATTCAGAATTATATGAGGTGAAAATATGGAACCAGATTCTCTCCACTCCACTGCCTCAGGGTCCATTTCTCCTTCGCTGCCTAATCCGCGCCATTCCCTACAAGAAAGTGAGTTCTTCTCCATCAGAACTTTTATTGAATGGTATGGATTAGGCAGTGGAATGTAAGTGAGCCATAAAACAACGAAGAGAATCCAATTCCGTGAAAATACCATTTTCTTTCTTGAAGGGACCAGTCTACCGGCTAAGAACCCCACAACGTGAAAATCAGAATGTTTTTTTTTTTTTGAACTTTTTCACCACAGAAATACCCCGTGTCATTATTAGCACCTCTTTAAAGAAAGTTTCTTCCCCTACAACTTTTTAATTTATAAAGCTTTAGTGGCATTGGCTATTGATCTGTTGTAGCCTTTTTTTATAAACAAAAAAATGGCAAGCTGCTTTAAGGTTTTTCTATTAAAAAACACATGCCCATTAAATTAAGAAAACATTTTATTGACCAAATATGTTTTTTTTTTTTTTGCCGACTGACCAAATATGTTTTTCTACAAGACTTGTCACCGATTTTCTCATTAAATATTTCAGATAGAGTTAAATCGCCGAATAAGAAGGGTAAGGTTATATAACAGCTTTTAAAATCGTATGGATTTTAGGCATAGCTATAACTCCTCTTTAAAAGGTGAGGTGAGCCGTTACACATCATCTTACCTAACCCAAACTCACCATCACACTCTTCTTTTTAAAACTTTTCAAAACTCAACTATTATATCTTTCTCCCCTGTTCATGTTTTCTGATGTCTCTGTCTAGCCTCACAACTTTAACAAGGGTTTTTGTTGGAAGTTTTTTTTTTTTAAAAAAAGAAAGAAAGATAGGTATTAACGGCTTAATGTTAGCCTACAAGGCAATTTTGCTTTGTTAAAAGTTGATCATAAACCTGTTTCTCTATAGAAAGTACTCAAATACAGCGATTAAATATGACACCAGAAAAGTATTCAAATAGATCCAAGACGAGTTGGTACGAACATTACAAGACAAGATATATAGAGTGCTTAAAGGAAAATTTGAAGTGCTATCCACATCCTGTACGAGTATTACAAATGCAAAGATGAACATCTTACTTGGCAACAAAATGAAAATACTACAAAGGGCTAAGACAAAAAGGGTGGCTGACTATTGGAATGTAGTGAAGCAACAAAATCCTGAGTCAAGACCCTGAAAATTGGTATCATAATCTCCAACAAGAGAAATTTTTAATTCACAGATTTACATTAAGAAATCAACTAAATGTAAATCAACTATGTCCATTAGAGATGTAAATTAATTTCTCGCGTTTAAGAACTAAATCGAACCAAACTGAAACAATCCGATGTTTGCAAAGCATTGTCAGTTATCATCGTACAAGCATAAGATCCTTGAAATGCTTCACATTCACAATATTAAACTATCAAGTAGCAAATTTGAACGCTAAGGTTAATCCATAATCACAGATAAATAAGAGAAGAGACTATACACGTGTGTATCAGCCTTTGATATTATTAAAATTAGATTTATGGATAACAAGTTAATTACAAATATACAATTTTGAAACAAAAGCGTATTAGAAGGGGAAAAACACGCGTGAAAGCGTTTCTGCAGAGCAAATTAGCAACGTTCAGAACTTACAATGTCTTCCTGTGAATCCATTTCAAGAGAGCTAATTAGTGAATCTGAACCATTTGGATCATCATCACCATCCTCAGCAGAAAGATCCAAAAAGTCCCCACAGTCATGGATCCTGTCCAGTTGATCTATTTCATCTTCACTTATAAGTTGGCTCAGTTTCTCCCTATAAATCCTCAATCGATCTTGTGACAGAACCCTCTCGGATTCCTGTTCCTTAATGATCAAACGCAGTGATTCAATGACATTTTGATCATACTCTTGTTTCTGCTCAACCACTCTACGGTATTGATTGGATTGGATCTCCACTGAACTCTTCTCACTCTGAAGACGAAGAATCATGGCCATAGCTTCATCTGCTGCTGAGGATGATGCTGTTCTTTCCTTTTCAAGTTCTGCATAGGCTGTAATTGCTCGCTGCCTTTCAATCTTCACCAACTTCCTCAGAATCATTACGTCGAACACATCATCTTCATCAAGAACTTCTTTATCATGATCACCCTTCTCTTCCCCAAAACCCGTGGGACTAACATCGCCGTTAAGATTATCTTTATCTTCCCCAACGCAAAAGTTGCTTTTGTTCGATGAGTTTGGATTCTGAGAGGATTTCAATGGGCTACACTTGAGAGACAGAATCTTAGAGTCAAATTCCTCACCAACGCTATTTTCCAGAGGAAATCGATTTCTGGTTTTTCCTCCGAATTCAAAAAGATAGCGAATCAAACCCCCAGAATGCCAACCGAGATGTAGGATCTTCATACAGAACCCGAAAATCAAAATCATCCCAAAAACATTGAACACCCGAGAGAAGGACCCGAGAAGCAAAAACCCACATCCAATCTCACTGACCTGAGCAAAGAACTTCAAAGTGGAAGAAAAATCCATAACAAACAACCCCAGAAAAATCCGAAGAAACCTGTGGTACAACTCGAGAACAGAGTAAGTAACAAACAACAGACAAAAACGACCCAGAGTCTGCATCTAGGGGTGAAAGATTTTGACAGAACACCCAATCTTAGCGTTAAAGAAAGAATGTAAGCGAAAAGAAGCAATTGCTAAGAAGTGAAAAAAAGGGACAAGGGCATATAGTGATTGTGATTTTGCCTAGCGTTGTCACAACTCACAACCATAAAAGAAAGACAAAAATGAAACTTCACAGGCGTAGAAGAAGACTGAAACTAACCATGTAAATCGGAATCACAACTCACACGGGAAGACAAATAGAAAGAGGACAGAGCCCTCGCAGTGAAGAAAACGGGATCTGGAGGCGGAAGGGAAGTAAGAAGACCAGCAATAGAAATAGTGGGTGGGTCCATCATCGGTTACGAGGAGTCATGCCTCGGATGAACCATTTCATGGATTCGGTACCGTTGTCACCATTTACCAATTATACTCCATGTTCATAATATCATAAATTAATTAACTGTTTTCACGTATAAAAATAATAATAATTTAGCACCATAAAATATTTTGTAACACATTTAGTACCGCATAATATTTTTTAGGTACATGTAACACTTTAAAATATTTTTTTGGTCATGGTGCTGATGCACCAAGAAATATTTTTGGGTGCTAAACGCACCTAGAAAAATATCTTGAAGTGTTAGATATATCAAAAAATACTTTATAGTGCTAAACACAACCAAAAAAATACTTCAAGTTGTTGGATATACTACAAAATATTTTAGAGAGCTAGGTGCATCTAAGAAAATATTTTACGACGCTGGATGCACTTTAATCCTTAAATTTATTGTAAATGATAGAGTTTTTCTATTTTACTCCTAAAAAATGATATGCTTCTTCAGTCCTCAATATAGAACTTAATTCTTGAGTTTGTTTTGATCCTAAATATAAGACTCATTTTTCATATTTATCAGTTTTCTTTAAATTACCTCTATGAATACTCCTTTAACCATAATTAAGTAGAAGAGGGAGAGGATGTATTAAAAAAGATGATTATGGTGTTTTAGGAAAAATATGTCACTTTTTTTATAAATTAGCTAACTTATCTAACTTCCTTAATCTAATCAAATTAGTTAATAGGTTTTATATTAAGGATCGAAGGAGTAATTGCTTTTAACATTACACTTTTGTTATTTTCTCATCTCTCTCCTTTATTTAATAGGGGTGAGAGTGAAAAACATTAATTATCTTAACACCATCTTATATTTTGGATCATGATTTTCTTCTAACAAATGTCTTATATTATGAACCACACGAAACACTACACAACATAAATTAAATTAAAATATGAATACTAGTACTTTAAGATAATGTACCTAATTTTATTTTCCTGATGTATACAGCAATTTGATTTTATTTTTTTGGTGCATTAAGTATCCTAATTTTATTTCTAATACGTTTAGTACTCTAAAGATTATGTACTAAATGTGACTAGAAAAATAACATTGGAGTACTGAGTACTCTAAAAAAATACGATCATAATGCTAGATGTATCATATAAAAAAAATTAGGATGATAGATACACTTAAAAAATAAGATTAATGTGTTGGATATATATATATATATATATATATATATTTTCGCTGCACATGTGTAAGGTGAATAAATCTGGGGAAAAAATGCAGCAAGTATTAGGAATTCCTTAAAATCACAATAGAGAAAAAAAATAGAAATTAAGATTCATACATATTTCCTTTACCAAGGAGTTAAGATTCATAAATAATTGAGATGAAGTCAACTAACTATTAGTGGATCTAAGTCTAACATATAAAATTTATTTTATATAATTTCAACTATCCGAATTTAATCTAAATGATTTAATTCCGTGATCATGAGATTCATTTTTTTCCCCCAAAAAAATGATGGCATGGGAAGTATAGAAGCAAATACTACCAGGATACAGGAGGAGGACTTAATTGGATGCACACAAGAATTGGTTATTTGGTGAGGAAGGTACGTCCCGTTGGGTGACGTTGGCCAAATGAAACTTATTGACACAACGCTAAGGTCTCCCTCATGATCTAAAAACAAAACACCTAACGCTTGATCTACTAAGACCTATCTCTACGGGAACGGGAGCATGACAAGCAAGTTTTTTTTTTTTCCCTAGCCCAATAGGTAGAAATCTCCCAGCTCTACTATACTGTGATGATGCCTCTCCCAGTGTCGCAACTGGAGTCACAATAAAGTGGTACTCTCCAAGATTGAACCCTTCCCTTGGTGATGACGCGGCCATCCATCCTCACGCTTCATTATTATATTTGTGATTGTGTTCACTAAATAAATTTGTATCTACCACAACATTAATATGTCAAATATGACCTCCCTTGGAAAAAATTAAATACAGAAATTATTATCAACCCATCAATAAAAGTTTCCAATGACCACATGATGCTTATCTGTATCTTGTTTTTCTTTCATGCGAGTTTATAACCAAATAATAATATTTTAAAAATAAGACATATGATCATATGTGATTAAAAAATTCAGGCAAAAATAATATGTGATTAAAATGCTTGATATAATGAATATAAAAAGTTTAATCCAACTATGGTTTTTATATTATTATCATCATCAAATTGCTAGGTAATAATAAGAATAATATTGTTCTTAAATTCTAATAATAATGTTGTCCAGAAAAAGTACTAGTGGTAATAATAAACTAAATCTTCTATGAAGAGGATTATGGAAAAAAAATCAATCAACTTGGTGGCTGGCACGCATAAAATGATAAAAAGGTGTCTGGCAAAAAAAAAAGAAATAGTATATTACTAAGCACATTACTATTTATTTTTGCAGGGGGAAAAAACTACTATTTATTTTATTTTAATAGTTTATTTGTATCCTAACGGCTACATTTGATCACCACAGAGAACATTCTCCCGTTTGCTGGCACCAACGGCAAGTCGGCAACAAAAGCAAGTCGCATATGCATAGTCTTCCCAGCGAAATAATAAAAAATGTCAAGCAGAGAAGAGTTGATCCAGTCAGTAAGAAATTGGTTCATAACTTATGAGATAATAAATCCGAATCTAATTACTAAGGCAAAGATTTTGTTAGTGAACAATCTGTAAGTACCTATATAAGCATTCTTTGAGCTTAGATACATGCCGTGACTCTGATAAGTCCTCAAAATTCAACTTGTCGGAATTTTTTGCATTAAAAAAAATAAAGAAGGAAGAATTACTATAAAATCCTAACAAATATATATTCACTAAAAAGTACTCTTGATTTTTTTTTATAACATCCCGAAATTTGCATTAATATTTTTTGATAAAATCCCAAGATGTATTTATAATAATCAACAACTGGGCAACATATAATGATAATTTCAAAATGAATAACAAGTTTTAACAACTTACTTGTTATTAAGACTTTTTGATAATTATATTCTTTTCTTGAAATGTCATGATCATTTTCTCAACAAAGGACTCATTTCTTCTGTTTCTAATTTTCTATATGAAAAAATGACAAAAACTACTTGTTGAATTTCAAAATAACATATAAGTGATTTTAATAGATTTTGATTTGTCAAAACTATTACAGCAGTAGTCAAAATCATTACAAGAATAGCTAACATAACTTATTTGTCTTTTTAAAATTTAACAAGTATTTTTTCTGTCATTTTTTTCCTTTCAATAAAAATAATTTGAATATGCGAATAGTAAAAGAGATGGGGAAATATTTTGTCAAATTATACTATAAAATATGTTTTTATATTTAGAATTAAAAGAATATTTTATATGGCTATGCATTTTCACTTTGCAAATTCATGGCAAAAGATTCAGTGCCGTGCCAATATAATCCATAGTTCGAGAAAAATGAATTAATTCTTTTTAGGTCGGATCCTTTGGGGTATTAACACTGTTTCTTAACTGTAATGCAACCCTCTTGCTGGTTTTCACCTTCTTTTTTTTTACTCCATTTATCTCTTATTATAAAATCTAATTAACTAAAAGCAATGCATACGTAGGAAATGAACTTTTTTAAAAAAGAAACATATCCTTATTTATAAGTCGGCAAATGAGAGAAACTAATACTGAGAAAAATGATAAAAATATATATGAAAAAATTAATTAAAAATAAATTTAAGAAAAATGTATTTAATATTTAAACAATTTTAAAAAAGCAGAGGGATTAAAAATTTGAATTTGATAGGAATGGAGGGATTTACAAATGAGTACAGTTTTAATTACAAATTATTGAGAAAATCATTCTGTAGGTATTTATAGTTTTCTTCAATTTTTAATTTCGTGCTTGTGTGTTTTTCTTTTCTAACTAAAACTCTAATTTTATTCTGTTAGCACTATTAGCTTCTGTAATTTTGCTCTATTAATATCATTATCCCCTATGCTAACTGAGCAAAATTACAATGTTTAATTACGAGAAAAAAATGCATAGATATCAAATTAAAAATTGAGAAAAAACTATAAGTACCTACAAAATGATTTTTCCTATCAATAATAATGTATAAATAATGTCTAACAACAAAACAAAGTACTAGTAATAATAATAACGTCCTTAAAAAATCCAGTCCCACTTCTCACGCACTGAATGATCAGAACATGAGGATGCTCAGAATACGGAAGGATAACATAGTTACCTCCTAAAATATTATTTTAATTATAATTAGATTTTTAAAAAATTCACTGAAATGAAAAATGAGTGAGGTGCAAACATAAATTTATAAGACAATTTCAAGCATAGAAATGACGTATGAGACTTATTAAATACTTTTTGTAGTAAGTTAAGATTCTCGTATTTACAAATTTTTAAATTAATTTTTTATATTACAACTCAAGCACATATTATATTATTTATAAATAATTTAAACTCATAATCTCATGCTTAATTTATATTTGTAACTTATTAGTTAGCAAAATTTTTGTAGACTTAAGAGCCCTTTTCACAATAATAACACTCAGGTTTAAAAAAATTGGTGAAAAGTACATTATAGATATAAATTTATGGAGTTGTAAATATGGGAGCCGTGAATGCAAATCTGGCATGTAAATATTATCCCACAATGGTTTATAATTAACATTTCCATCCTTATTTTTTAACTTTTTTTTTTTAAAAACCCAATTATCATTAAATTAATCTTTTATGATCTAACTCCATTCCTAATTCCCAGTCACTATCATACAGTATTGATTTGCCTCATCAAGAATCAGTACCGGCTTCTTCGGTATCCTTAAGTATAAATTAGCTAGATATACTATCTTTGTATAGGCATAAAATTTGACAATAATGCAACTTATTA